TAAAGCGAGAAGTTCCGGAGAGAAGTATCTTGGCTGGTTTCACAAGCTCAGCCACTGCCTCGTGATCTGCTCCCGTGTGGCGCTTGCCCAGCCCACCAGCCCACCAGCAAGGTGGGCCTTGTCACGAGTAATGGTTTTGTCAGGAGTAATGGTTTTGTCAGGATTAATGGCTTTAAACTAAGGGAGGGCAGATTTAGACCAGATATAAGGAAGAAATTTTTTACACTGAGGGTGGTGAAACACTGGAACGGGTTGCCCAGAGAGGTAGTGGAGGTCCCATCCCTGGAAACATTCAAGGCCAGGTTGGACGGGGCTCTGAGCAACCTGGTCTGGTTGAAGATGTCCCTGCTCACTGCAGGGGGGTTGGGCTAGATGACCTCTAAAGGTCCCTTCCCACCCTAAGCATTCTGTGGTTCTATGACCGTTGGTGGTGGGACCAAGGTGTTTCTAGGGTACAATTCCCCTCATCCTGGCGCAGACATCTGCTCTTGGCCTGACAAGTTGTGCTGTGTCCTTGGCTCTTTGCAGTGCCCAGAAGCCCAGTGGTGTTACAGCTGCCGAGGTCTGTGGCAGTGGGTTGTGGCTGGTCCCCCACGTCCAGCAGACCTGCTGCCGGAGACTCACCACAGCCCCTCTTGGCGGAGGCATCGGCGCAGTCCTTCTGGCCACCACATTTTTCTTTCCACAGGCACTGGGTGTTGCGGCAAGCGAACGTATCTCCGGGGCAGCTCCCTGGGGACAGCAAGGCTTGGGTCACTGGTGTCTTCTGCAGCCCTCCCAGCCACCATCCCAGCCACCGCGGTGTCCTTGTCACTGCTCCCCAGAGGCTCTGTGGGGTGGAGCCGGGAGCGAAGCTGCAGCCCTTGCTGAGCTTGTGGGGGGAAAGGGGTGCAGCTCCCTGGGGCACCAGGTTCGGAACAAGATGGGGCACCAACGCCTCTGTATCTGCAGCTGGGTCACCAGCGAGGAGGCGGCTACAGGTCGGGCTGCGGAGTGCAGCCACAGCTCTGCCCGCTGCCGGACTCTTACCCGACTTCAGTCCAGGTCTGTGGGGAGAAACCTCGCTGGGACCTGCGACAAAGCGGAAGGAAGGGGAATCAGCAGGGCTGTCCCAGTCGGGGCCACAGGAGCTGTGTGCTCCCAGGGACGGTGCTGCTCCAGGGCTGGCAGGGGATTCGCTCCATCTCCTCCTCCTGCCCGGCAGTCGCTTTCCCTGCCCCACAGCCAGCGGTGAGCTCCTGGCCCCGTTCCCTTACTGGGGCCTGTCCCCAGTTTGCCCCACCGTGGGCACAGAGCAGCCGACCACAGCCCTGCGGGCTTTTGGGGCCACCCAGGGACCCTGCCCGTCGTCGCGGGGGTGCAGAGGGTGCTGCAGAGGAACCCACACCTTCGTATTTTCCAAGCACAGGTTTTTTTTAAATCCGCTGGACCTGGAGTCCTACGGTCGCGTCCAACCCCGCAGTCACTGAAGGAAAGGAGACTTCCTAGTCAGGTGCTTTCAGAGAATAACTGAAATATGAGAAATATCTACCTAAGCAGGAATTATTGCTACAACTGAGGACTGCCTAAGGGCTGCTGCACACTTGTAGGTACAGACAGCCCAGCAATCAGTCTCCTGAAGCTGGACCTCTTGTCTGCCAGGCTGGTCCCAGGGGCTGCAAGAAAAGCCAGAGAAGCTTTGATTTGTGCTTCGGGCTCTGTTGTTGCTGCAGGGCCCCGAAGCTGCCCTTGCAGGGCAGAGAGCAGCGGGACAGCATTCGCGTTGGAAGGGGACCTGGGGACTCCCCACGGATGTCTGCCAAGGTGCGGGCACGTTTCTGCTGCTGCCTTGTGAAGCGGGGAGCCAGGCAGAGCATCTTCCGTTGGTTTGCTGGGGTGCCTGGCAGCACCTCCGTGTCCAACACTGCACTGCAGCAGTTTGGCTGTCTGGGACACAGTCTGGGGGTCTGCCAGCGTGACCTCTGGAGCTGGCAGCCCCAGCCCAGGGCACCTTGCTCTGGCTGCCCAGCAGCTGCGGGAGGAGCAGACCTGTGAGAGAAGCCGAGGATATGGTCCCATACGCAGCCAGGGAGAGACCCTGCTCGGGCAGGGCAGCTGCCAGCCCGTGCCTGAGAGCTTCCTCCTCCATGGCAGAGCTCAGGAGCTGGGAATCGTGGGGGGCGAAGCGGAGGCGGAAGCGGACGAACACGCTCGCGTTTACCTGCTGAAGACAGAGAATTAGTGGGGCTGTTGGCTCCATGGTCAGTACAAGGGACAGGCTCTCGTGCTAGCTAGGGAACTGCTCTTGTGCTAGCTGCAGGGAACTTGAGGGAAATAAATAAAACTAATTCTTAATAATTTAAAGCGCGGTTTTCTCTGGAGGTGTGCTCTGGGTTGAAATGATCATTTCCTTTTTTTTTTCCTTTGGCCCAAAGCTCAGCTTTGGTTGAACAAAGCCATGTTCCTCTGCCTTTCTGACTGCATTTCCAGTGAAAGAACGCGGAACATTGGTGCGATCCCCAAAACATTGGTGTGATCCCAGAAGAAAAACCAGCCTTGACCAAAAAGCAGGTTCTCTGTGCACTGGTTTTGAACAAGAACACAGGTGTGAGCTCATCTTCTTGGTGGAGCTTGTCGGGATGGCCTGAAATGTGAGCTGTGCGGTCTGCAGAGAGAGCTGCCCGCACTCACCTGTAGCCCAGGATGGTGCAGCCGGTGCAGCTCCAGTCCGGCTGGGAGTCCTGGAAACTGGACAGAAACTGCAAAGCAAAGAATGATGGTCACACACTTACTGGGCAGAAGACCCCAGGGAGACGGGACTAGATGCTGCCTGGGATTTTGCAGGGAACTGGAGCCAGCTGAAGCATCTTCTCTTCTCTCTGCAGGCAGCAGGAGCACCCGTGTCCAGCTCGTGTAGCCCTTTTCCCACCCTGGCTCAGGGCACGAGGCAGCGCACCCCTTCTTTATGCCTTCCTACCACCTCTCTTTTGCAAGGAACAGACCTGAGCACACCCTTCCTGCTCCACAAATGTCTCTCAGGGCCCTGACGGGGCCCCTCAAAGCGCAGCTCAGCCCCACAGAGCACCCTGCTGATGTCTCAGAAATCCCTGCTTTCCTCCTGCCCTTGGCACCCAGATTCTGCTGACTGAGGACAGTCGAGCTGGGTCCTGGGGAACCGCCACAGTCTGTCCCAGGTCTTTCCTGGCAAGCCCGGATCAACTCACCAGCCTCTCGAGAGCAGGCGTCAGCACCCTGTAGTAGTCCGAGTTCTGCACCTGTAAGCTGCTATTGAAGGCGATTCCTCGCAGCTCCACTGTGTGCTCAAAGCTGGTCTCTCCCGCGGGCTGAGAGGCTGCCGGGGAGGGAAGGCGTCTGTCAGAGGCACGAAGGACACGCAAAGCTCTGGGGCCATGGCTGCACCCAGCCTTCCTCGCTGTCCGCTTTGGGTCTCATCCTGCCCTTTTATCCTCCCCTGGTGTGAGCAGCTTGACCGTCCCTGAGCACCACCGGCTGCCTCGGGGGTGCCCCGTGGCCGTGCTGCGCTGCCCCGCACACAGGCAGTAGGAGAATTCTGCACTGAACGAGTCTGAACTTGAAAATGGTGGATTTTTGTCAAGCTTGAGACAAAAGCTCGTGAGCAGATGGGTACAGCCTGGCAGCGCAATCCCAGATTAGCCCCGTCCTTGCAGGAACAGACTGGGGAAAGGCGTGCTGGGTACCGACGCCAGCAGAGAAAGTGGTGCTGTACAGGAGAGCTGTGCTGGTGGGATATGCCAGTCAGGTCAGGCTGGGGTCCACAGCAGGGTGCTGGCCTGGCCATGGGGCACTGGAGGCAGCAGGACGGAGGTGGGAGAGGCAGGGAGATGGTGGTCGTGCTCCGGAGTGGGACAGTAAAACAGGGGACGGTCAGTGGCTGCAGGAGGCTGTGGTGGGAGATGGCTGGGGCAGCGAGGGGCAGCGAGAGGAAATCTGGGAGTTGCAGGGAGAGGCTGGAGGAGCGGGACAGAGCACACGTGTCATGCGACACTGAGGATAAAGTGCTTTAAAGTCAGATACTGAGAACACGAGCTGAGTGCAGCCCTTGCAGTTTGTGTGTGTATGCGGGGAGAGCTGACCACGGTTTGTCCCCAGCAGAAGGCTTTTGAGGATTGTTACTATGAGGACTGTGAGCTGGGCTGACCATTTCTTTTTTGGAGCAGACAGACAAACTGAAAGAACATACACGGCTGCACACTCACCCAGCAGGATCCCCAGGCAGATGGCCGTCATGGTGCCCACCACAGCAGCAGCAACGGTTACCCTCCAGCAGCTGGCCCTCAGGCCCCTTCTCTGGGCACCTGGCACTGGCTTTATCTGGTCCATGCTTTCTGAGCAGCTCTACAGACGGCCTCTGTGATTAAAAAGAAGAGGAGGAAAAGGACAAGGCGGGGATGAGCTGTGACGTGCCAGCTATGGTTACCCCATGAGCTCCAACCAGTGCGTTGTCCCAAGGAGTAAAGGGATGGATACCACTGCGTCCCCTGCATGTGCATCAGGCTGCAGGCAGGAGACTGCACTAATTCATCCAGGTTGTAGGACCTGAACATATCAACTGTGGTGGCCCTCCCTGCCTGGTTCCCTTTCTCTTTCTTCCTATGAGGCCACCACTGAGCATGGCCATGTCTCTTGCAAGTACAAACCAGCCTGATGCCTCCATCTCCATGCTCTGCACCGGTGCTTCTGGTGACACAAGCTCCAGGTGAGTGCTGACGCGGTGTCCCAGCATCACAGGCCCTGCCTCAGGGTCCAGCCAGGACCCAACACAGTACCTGCTCTTCAGCAGGCAGTCCCCCACGCTTGCTTGAGCAGCAGGGTTCCAAGGTCCGACCACCTACGACGGCAAGGTGAGCTGGCAGGCCAGCTCACAGCAAGGCGTGCGTGTGGACTGGGCTTGGCATCTTGGCTTGCTCCTTCTGCCTCAGGCATCACCCCTCGTAAGGATCCTAAAGCCAACCAGTGTCGCTAGCAGATGCTCTGGTGCTGCTCAAGAGCCGTGGAGCTGCAGCGGCAGCTGGGACAGTAAAGCTGGAAAATAGGACATTTATCTCAGTGTAATCTTGTAGGCCTGAAAATAACAAAGACTGGACCACAGACGCTTCCTTAAACGTGAAACTCTGCAGCCTGAATAAGGAGCTGCAGAGAGAGACCTGCCTGGTACTCTGGCTAGTAAAGGCACCAAAGCCAAGTGGTGTTGAAAACCTCAAGAATCCTTGGCTGCTTCTACAGGAACGTTCTGACCTGGCTACTGAAGTCCTGTCACTGGGCTACTTACATCGCCATGGTAGATGTTATGTGCATTGAAGCTGGCTAATTAATAAACCTCACCCTGTAGCTGTTTGTGAGGTGGGTTCCAGGGTGAGGTTTCATGTGTAGCCCGATGCTATTCCATATTTTTGCAAGAACCGTGAAGGAAATATAAAATCACAGTCAGTAAATTCAGTGGGTGACAAAACTCACCACAATGTTCAGCAGAGAGCTCCCAGCGCCTAGTGATGCAGAGCAATTAATATGTGCTTTAATTACAGCTATGCTACTATCGCGATGAGCAGTTCCTCCTTCCCTGCGGTCGGCACTGGCGCTGCTGCCTCCAGCGTTTTGCTCCAAGCGGTACAGACATCCTGCGCAGGAACCGAAGCCCCTCCATGTGATCTTTCTTGCCTCTTGATATCAACTCAGTGGCCTTTGCCAGACTTGTTCCAGCACATCAGTGCTTTCCAGGCACTGAGGGTGCTCGGGTGGGATACGGTACTCCAAATGTGATGTCAAAAGTGCCAAAAATAGGGTGCTTCTCGTTTTTCTGTCTGCACTCTTGCTAGTACAAGCCACCCTGTGGTTGGCCTTCTTTTGCACGTTGTCAACAACTGGGTGTCGGTAGGAGTGGAACCGCCTGGGATATCCTGCTTTATCCACAGCCGTCCGATCAGCCGTACTTCAGCCATGGTAGCTTTGCAAGAAGCCTAACGAGACAAGAAGGGGCACTGATTTCCTCTGGCCCCAAAATTTATTAAATCACTGGATTAATGTTCCTCCCTCGCAGGCAGGCAGAAGACACACAACCCTTCCCTGCAAACTGGCACACAAGAATCTGTCTAAGACAATTTGGTTGGTCAGGGTTGAAACACATGGAAGATATTCAAAACCTGCCTGGACGAGGTCATGTGCAATCTGCTCTAGGTGACCCTGCTGTGGCAGAGGAGTTGGACTAGATAATCTGCAGAGGTCCCTGCCAACCCATGCCATGCTGGGATTCTGTGCTTCCCGCCTTCTTGGCCAAAGGTCCAAAGTTCCTCAGCTTCAAAGTGAGTTTTTCGAGGACTCAACCTCTAGCTGCTGAGAAGCATCAGACTTACAGGTCACACCAGAAGGGCCTTGGGCAAGGCAACTTCATCTCTCAAGCTTACTCTGCCTAGATTATTGACAGCTGCAAGAACATAAAACCCACTCAGCTTTTCCTTCCTTAGTCCCAAATTCTGTTTGGCCGAGGGACATCTCATCTGGTCACTCCTGCATTGGCCAGTTCCTACCCCTTCAGAAGATGCTGTGTGAGGTTGGGCGCAGCAGCAGCTGTTCCCTGATGCTGGAAACCAGGCTGCGACTTCAGCACCCAGGGAACCTGCCGAGGAGCAGCCCGTTCTAATGCAAATGCACCCAGCAATGAAAGAGAAAGAGGGAAGAAAGGGACCCGGGACACAGGGAGCAGCAGCGCTCTTTCAGAAGAGCTTTTCAGTGTTTTCCAAGAGGTGTCAGGAGCTCTTTAAACTGAAGCTTCCAGATAAGCGATTTTAAAAGGTCACTTCTTTGTGAGGCAGCAGAGAGGGAGAAAGGGGAGAGGAAGGGAGAGGCTGTCCAAGATGCCTCTTTTTTTTCTAAGACCTCCAAATATTCTTTTTCAGCTGTCACTGAGCCTGGCAGCGATAGGCGCTTTGGGCTCTTGTGTTTTGCTAACAATATCTCCGTTTGACAATTCAGCTCTGGCTAAGAGGAGACAGGTAGGAGACATTTTTTCCAGTGGTCCTTGTGACCTGAATACATACAGATGAGCGATTCCTCCTCCGCTTTTTCAATAGGTCTTGGAGTCACCGGCTCTCTTGCGGTGTGCTGAACGTGGACGCTCAAAAATCTAGTCCAGGTATGCTGACCAGTGCAACAGTGGCCTTACTACCAATGGACTTTAAAGGGAGGACAACTGCATGTGAGGAAAATAATTAACATCACAGACAAAATTGGCTATGGCTGGGTGTTATTTTGACAATGCAAGTTAGATTGAACTAATCTTGGCTGCATAAAAATAGTCACACTACAATAAAAGGTACTTGGGACCCTAGAAAAAAGTTCATATTATTGATTGCCTTGGCAAAAAATAGAGTATTTAGCATATTCTATTTCCCAAAACAATCAAAACTTGTCTTCATTTAGTGGAGGAAAAGAAGGTTATTGGGAGTAGTCAACATGGATTCACCAAGGGGGAATCATGCTTGACCGATCTGATAGGCTTCTATGATGGCATGTCCAGCTGGGTGGAGGAGGGGAGAGCAGGGATGTTGTCTACCTTGACTTCAGCAAGGCTTTCGACACTGTCTCCTGTAACATCCTCCTAGGGAAGCTCAGGCAGTGTGGGCTGGACGAGTGGTCGGTGAGGTGGATTGGGAACTGGCTGAACGGCGGAGCTCAGGGGGTTGTCATCAGCGGCGCTGAGTCTGGTTGGAAGTCTGTAACTATTGGGGTTCCCCAGGGGCCAGTACTTGGCCCAGCCTTGTTCAACTTATCCATCAGTGACCTGGCTGAAGAGTTAGAGCGTACCCTCAGCAAATTTGCTGATGGCACCAAACTGGGAGGTGTGGTAGATACACCAGCAGGCTGTGCTGCCATCCAGCGTGACCTGGACAGGCTGGAGAGTTGGGCAGAGAGGAACCTGATGAGGTTCAACCAGGGCAAGGGCAGGGTCCTGCACCTGGGGAGGAACAACCCCAGGCACCAGTACAGGCTGGGGCGGCCCTGCTGGAGAGCAGCTCTGCGGAGAGGGACTGGGAGTGCTGGGGGACGACATGGTGACCATGAGCCAGCAGCGTGCCCTGGGTGCC